TGACTCCGTCAAGCTTCGAGGAATTGGTACTGGAATTTTTCTAGTGCATTGCTTAATTTTTAGTTCAAACAAAGTCGTGCGGAACAATCACTGTTCATCCATCACAAGGGCACTAGTTTTGTTGTTGCTTTGATTTACGTTGATGACGTGATCCTTGTTGAGAATGATGCTTAGTTCATCTAAGATGTCGAGGATTATTTACATGCTCAGTTCACTAGCAAGGATTTAGGTTCCTTAAAGTACTTACTTAGCAAGGATTATTTACTGTCTTGGATATATTGGCTGACTGTGGTTTGGAGTCTACTCGGTCGTGTGCTACTCCAATCGACCAAGGTCATCAGCTTGGGCGTCTACCCTCGGATCTGGCACCAAAACCCTCCAGGTACAGTTGACTTGTTGGTGACTTCTTTATCTGACCGTCACATGTCCGGATATCTAGTATGTTGTAAACATTCCTAGTCAAGCCGTGCATTCTCCTAATCAGGCTCATGTACACCATGTCGTTCGAGTCCTCAAGTATCTTAAACAGTCACATGGGCGTGGTCTTTTCTTACCAGCTGGTGCCCCGATGACCCTCACTACTTACGGTGATGGTGGAGTGTATAGGTTTAGTATTTTTACTACACTTAGTTGTTTTCTAACTGCTGTCCAGCTGTCTTTCGGTCTTAGTGATGTTGTGTCCTTGTTGTGGATAGAAAGTTATAACCGTGTCTTGCTAGGGTTTGGCCTCATAGCGTTGGGTATAAAGCTTAGCTGTGAGTCGTTGTTAGCAGCATGCTAGTCAGCTGTAAAGTCAATAATAATAATCGTCGTTAGTTGAGAGCTCGGTTGAGCTCTTCATGAATTAGTCATGTTAATCATAAATTGTTAACATTACATGAGAACAACGAACCTGATAAATAAAATTAAAACATCTAAATAATTATGAAGTAAACAATAAAGTATTAATTAATTTAATTTTTCTATGAAGAAGTTGAAATCAATAAGGTGTAGCTTGATCTCAATCCTTTAAAAGTTATATCTGTCACTAATAATCATATCTATTCAATGATTTTTTTGTTTTGTGTTTTGGGCCTTTTTTGTTTGGGTTTGTGTTTGGGCTTTGTTTAGGCCTTTTCCTTATGGTTTGGAAAAGGTGTTTGGTTTTCTGTTTGAGATTAGGAGAAGAGTATTATAAATACTCTTCATCACCTAGTCTGTAGTAAGGTCAGTCAGGTTAGTTTGTTTGGTTTGTCCGTTCGGAATTTGGTTTGTAACTTGTACTCTCCTCCAATCAGTGAAATTTGTTCTCCTCTGACCGTGGATTAGCTAGCACACATTGTGTTAGTGAACAACGTTAAATTCTTGTTCGTTTGTGTTCATCTGGATTATCGATTGCACCCTTCTGTTCTGACAAGTGGTATTAGAGCCTTTGGTTGTGGTTTTGGGAATTTTGCGCTAGACTGATGTTTTGCTTTGTGGTGGTAGCTTTCAATTCTTCAGCTTGGTTCAGTGGAGGAATCGCTTTGAAGTTGACTTTGGGTAGTTGTGTTTTGGTCTCGCTTTTTTGGTGAGAAGTTTGGTTGGAGTTTGTTTGATAGTAAGAATGGCTGCTATTAGTATGAAGATTGAGAAGTTTACCGGAAGAAACAGTTTCAGTGTGTGGCAGATCAAGATGCAAGCACTGTTGAAACAACAGGGTTTGTAGGCTCGGTTGTCTGGAAAATCGAAGAAGGAAAGTATAGATGAAGAAGAGTGGATTACTTTGGAGGAGAAAGCTCACTCTACTATCTTGCTTTGTTTGCCCGATGACATCATCACTGAGGTTGCTGCTGAGAAGACTGTTGCGGCCTTGTGGTTGAAGCTTGAAAGTCTATACATGACTAAGTCTGTAACTAACAAGTTGCATATGAAGCAACGTTTGTTTAGTTTGCGTATGGAGGAAGGTACGTATCTCAAAAATTATCTAGATCAACTCAATACCATCTTGTTAGATCTACGGAATATTGATGTTTAAGTAGATGATGAGGATGCTGCCTTAATTCTGTTAGTATCTTTGCCACAGTCATATGAGAATTTTGTGGATTCTTTTATTGCTGGGAAAGATAGCTTGTCTTTGGAAGATGTCAGATATGCTCTACATACTAGAGAAGTTCGACATAAGGCGTTTAGTTCTGGTTCGGAAAATCAGGCATCTGGGTTGGCTGCTACGTGTAGTAGGAGACAACAATCTGGTAATAAGAAGGCGAATACAAATTTGAATTCTGCTGGTTTGAAGGATGATATTTGTCATTACTGCAGGGAGAAAGGACATTGGAAATTTGATTATCCTAAGCTAAAGAAATACTAGGAGAAGAAGGAATCATCCGCTGCTGTGACGGAAGAAACTAACTCTGATTCTGAAGATTGTTTAGCCATAGCAGTGAATGAGCAGGTACACCATCAGGATGTGTGGTATTTGGATACTGCAGCTGATTATCATATGTGTCCAAGCTGGAAATGTTTTTCAGCTTATGAGCAGATAGATGGAGGACATGTTTCTATGGCCAATGGTGCTATCTGTAAGATTGTTGGAAGAGGCTCCGTCAGGATGAGGACACATGATGGTTCTGTTTGCACCTTGAACAATGTTAGACATATTACAGAGATTACTAAGAATTTGATATCTTTGAGTCTACTCGACAGCAAGGGTTTCAGTTTCAAAGGTGAAGGTGGATTGTTGTCTTTCTACAAAGGTTCTAAGGTGATTTTGAAAGGTGTCAAGCGTGGTGCCTTGTATAATCTACAACGTTCTGTTTTGACATGTTCTGTTTGTGAGAAGGGCACCGAACTGGTTCTGAAAAGCAAGTCTCAACATGAGTTGGATTTTTAAAATGGTTTGAGTTGTTGACCACCCTTAGGAGCATTTGGAGGCGAGGGAGGTTCTGGTACAGCTGATTTGGAGGAGTTTGTTACGTCTGACAATTCTGATTTCATCTGATTTTGGCAATTTACGCTGCATTTGAGTTTGGTGATTTCGATCACAACTGGATATCTGTGATTTCGATCGCATCTGGGTAAATTTGGTGATATGGATCGTGTCTGGGTACATCTGGCAACTTTGGTCGCGTCTGGTACATTTGGTACTTGAGAGAGAATTCAAGTAAAGGTGGAGATTGTTAGAATATGACTTGAATTTGATTTGGGTTTGTTTTGTGTTCCGGGCCTTTTTTGTTTGGGCTTTGTTTAGGCCTTTTCCTTGTAGCCTTGAAAAAGGTGTTTGGTTTTTTGTTTGAGACTAGGAGAAGAGTACTATAAATACTCTTGATCACCTAGTCCGTAGTAAGGTCAGTCAGGATAGTTTGTTTGGTTTGTTCGTTCGGAATTTTGTTTGTAACTTGTACTCTCCTTAATTCTGTTAGTATCTTTGCCACAGTCATATGAGAATTTTGTGGATTCTTTTATTGCTAGGAAAGATATCTTGTCTTTGGAAGATGTCAGATCTGCTCTACATACTAGAGAAGTTTAACATAAGGCGTCTGGTTCTTGTTCGGAAAATCAGGTATCAGGGTTGGCTGCTACGAGTAGTAGGAGACAACAATATGGTAATAAGAAGGCGAATACAAATTCGAATTCTGCTAGTTTGATGGATGATATCTGTCATTACTGCAAGGAGAAAGGACATTGGAAATTTGATTGTCCTAAGCTAAAGAAATATCAGGAGAAGAAGGAATCATCCGCTGCTGTGGCGGAAGAATTAACTCTGATTCTGAAGATGGTTTAGCCATAGCAGTGAATGAGCCGGTACACCATCAGGATGTGTGGTATTTGGATACTGCAGCTGATTATCATATGTGTCCAAGCAGGAAATGTTTTTCAACTTATGAGCAGATAGATGGAGGACATGTTTCTATGGCCAATGGTGCTATCTGTAAGATTGTTGGAAGAGGCTCCGTCAGGATGAGGACACATGATGGTTCTGTTTGCACCTTGAACAATGTTAGACATATTACAGAGATTACTAAGAATTTGATATCTTTGAGTCTACTCGACAGCAAGGGTTTCAGTTTCAAAGGTGAAGGTGGATTGTTGTCTTTCTACAAAGGTTCTAAGGTGATTTTGAAAGGTGTCAAGCGTGGTGCCTTGTATAATCTACAACGTTCTGTTTTGACATGTTCTGTTTGTGATAAGGGCACCGAACTGGTTCTGAAAAGCAAGTCTCAACATGAGTTGGATTTTTAAAATGGTTTGAGTTGTTGACCACCCTTAGGAGCATTTGGAGGCGAGGGAGGTTCTGGTACAGCTGATTTGGAGGAGTTTGTTACGTCTGACAATTCTGATTTCATCTGATTTTGGCAATTTACGCTGCATTTGAGTTTGGTGATTTCGATCACAACTGGATATCTGTGATTTCGATCGCATCTGGGTAAATTTGGTGATATGGATCGTGTCTGGGTACATCTGGCAACTTTTGTCGCGTCTGGTACATTTGGTACTTGAGAGAGAATTCAAGTCAAGGTGGAGATTGTTAGAATATGACTTGAATTTGATTTGGGTTTGTTTTGTGTTCCGGGCCTTTTTTGTTTGGGCTTTGTTTAGGCCTTTTCCTTGTAGCCTTGAAAAATGTGTTTGATATTCTGTTTGGGATTAGGAGAAGAGTTCTATAAATACTCTTCATCAACCTAGTCTGTTGTAATGTCAGTTAGATTAGTTTGTTTGGTTTGTACGTTCGGAATTTGGTTTGTAACCTGTACTCTCCTCAAATCAGTGCAATTTGTTCTCCTCTGCCCGTGGATTAGCTAGCACACATTATGTTAGTGAACCACGTTAAATTCGTGTTCGTTTGTGTTCATCTGGATTATCGATTGCAGACTTCTGTTTTGACATTAATAAAGAAAAATACTGTAAGGTACAAATTCACCTATCAATACCTAATCCCGACTCACATTGTTGTGAATTGATCGAAAGGAGCACATAATTGGTGATCGTAGTACTGGTGTGAGATAGGGAAGTGTAAGTTGACTAAGTACTGGTGTGAGAGATAAGGAATTTCAAGTTGATTAGGCCCGAAAAAACTGGTGTAGGAGTTTATGTGAGATCTCCCGAGAAAATCAACATTATTTGTGAATTGATCTTCCGCTAATTAAGTAGTGCCATCCTGGTTCCCTTTTGCACGATCGATGATCACCCTCGATCTCCTTGTATTGACAAATCAAACCACAAGCTGATTTTTCTTTCTCGTGGGGAATAGATGAAGGCAAAAGTCACATGTTTTTATACGGAACCCATAATCTGATTACATAGAAGGAAATATATCATCATATGTATTAATAATAGTAGTTTCTCATATGATTCATATGCTTTATTCTGGGCACCGATCAACCAGTTCGTAACGCTGACGATCGATACGACAGTTTAGTTTAACTGACACATAAAGGACACGCAGGAATCATAAGAAAGGCAAAGTAAAATTCATAGAGGCCACGCAGCTTGGATGACTCGGCAACGTAACTTTAGGATACGGGCGGGGATTAGATTTTATCGAAAGACATGGTGCAGGACGATGTAGATCCGTCATCGGCCTTTCCACTTGCGGAATTGGGACAAGCAGCTTGGAGCTTGATCAGAAGACGGTTCATACAGTCTATGCATGCCTGCCCTCCGTCTGAGGAAGGACAAAAAGCATCGCCTTTAATCCGACCCGCATACCTAGTGGTGTATGGAGAACCCGGAGCCTGGGTGGGCGTCTCTCGAGCCAGAATCGTCAGAATGTTGTTGACGTAACTCTGCCACCCCAAAACATCACTAACCTCACCGCCGCAGCAAGAATGAGCTCTAGCGCTCCCAATTCCGACGCTCAAACACGCTACAACTACCAACACAGCATTTGCCATCGACACTATCACTTTCTGCTGGCTACCCATATCGTTACGTGTTTGTTGCTTCTCTCTTTTCTTCGTACTATTTTCTCGCTTTTCTTTGGCTTTCGCTTTGTAGAATGCGATGATATGAACTATATATGTTCGTTTTACGCCTCCCTTTTATAGAGGCTATTCACATCAGTTCCGCCGTCCAAAGGTGCAACTTACTGGCTTCCTTCATACGTCCTCTATTGCAGGAACCAAAAGGAAAATGTTGTGCAATTGACATTGAATTTCTATTGATCTACAATTTATTGTTTTATACCGGTAAGGCAGAATTTCAAGAATTAGTGCTAACCCTGATGAAAACCAACCGAGTTTTGTTACTATAATAAACTAGTTATAACTTTCTATCTAATTAATTCAAGTTAAGTTTCAAGTACTTAATAACTAATTACGTACTTATGTCAATTGGCTTAAAATGAAATTACGCACGTTGCACTTAGATAGTCCTCCCACTTCACCTCCAGCAGCGGCTGTAGCGGAGGCCATTCGACGTAGTCAACGTCAAAGTCATCGACTGATACGTCTAGCGAATTATGATTGCGAGCTTCCTAATTGTCACCCCACTGACAACATGGTTCTGTACCCGATGAACAATTAGGTCACATATGATCATCTCTTATTGGAACACAAGGCTTACTTGGTCACTAGCTATGTTGCCTCCAGGCAATCGTATTGTTGCGTCGAAGTGGGGTTTCAAGGTCAAGTTCAAGCCTAATGGGTCGGTGGAGCTTTATAAGGCTCGTCTCTTAGTCAAGGGTTTCACACAGATTGAGGGCATAGATTATCATGATACATATGTACCTGTCACTAAATTAGTGACGGTTTGCTATTTGATTTCCTTTGTTGTCAGTCAAAATTGGTTTCTTCATCAACTTGACGTTAATAATACGTTTTTGCATGGCGATCTTCACGAAAAAGTCTACATTCAGGTTCCACAAGGTTTTTTGGCATCCAGAGATTCTCGTTTTTGACGTCTTCATAAGTCTATCTATTGACTATGTCAAGCTTCGATGAATTGGTACCATAAGTTTACTAGTGCATTGCTTAATTTTTAGTTCAAACAAAGCCGTGCGGACCAATCACTGTTCATCCATCACAAGGGCACTAGTTTTGTTGCTGCTTTGATTTACGTTGATGACGTGATCCTTGTTGAGAATGATGCTCAGTTCATCCAAGATGTCGAGGATTATTTACATGCTCAGTTCACTAGCAAGGATTTAGGGTCCTTAAAATACTTACTTGGCATTGAGGCGACTCGTTCTCAACAGGGTATTGTGCAGAACCAACGCAAGAATGTCTTTAATATATTGGCTGACTGTGGTTTGGAGTCTACTCGGTCGTGTGCTACTCCAAACGACCAAGGTCATCAGCTTGGGTGTCTACCCTCGGATCCGGCACCAAAACCCTCCAGGTACAGTTGACCAGTGGTTCGACTTCTTTATCTGACCGTCACATGTCCGGATATCTAAGATGCTGTAAACATTCTCAGTCAAGCCGTGCATGCTCCTAATCAGGCTCATGCACACCATGTCGTTCGAGTCCTCAAGTATCTTAAACAGTCACATGGGCGTGGTCTTTTCTTACCAGCTGGTGCCCCAATGACCCTCACTACTTACAGTGATGGTGGAGTGTATAGGTGTAGTATTTTTACTACACGTAGTTGTTTTCTAGCGACTGTCCAGCTATCTTTCGGTCTTAGTGATGTTGTGTCCTTGTTGTGGATAGAAAGTTATGACCGTGTCTTGCTAGGGTTTGGCCTCCTAACGTTGGGTATAAAGCTTAGTTGCGAGTCGTTGTTAGCAGCAAGCTAGTTAGCTGTAAAGTCAATAATAATAATCGTCGTCAATTGAGAGCTCGGTTGAGCTCTTCATGAATTAGTCATGTTAATCATAAATTGTTAACATTACATGAGAACAACGAACTAGATAAATAAAATTAAAACATCTAAATAATTATGAAGTAAACAATAAATTATTAATTAATTTAATTTTTCTATGAAGAAGTTGAAATCAATAAGGTGTAGCATGATCTCAATCCTTTAAAAGTTACATCTACACTAATAATCATATCTATTCAATGATTTTTTTTTTGTTTTGTGTTCTGGGCCTTTTTTGTTTGGGTTTGTGTTTGAGCTTTATTTAGGCCTTTTCCTTATAGGTTTGGAAAAAGTGTTTGGTTTTTGTTTGAGATTAGGAGAAGAGTACTATAAATACTCTTCATCACCTAGTCCGTAGTAAGGTCAGTCAGGTTAGTTTGTTTGGTTTGCCCGTTCGGAATTTGGTTTGTAACTTGTACTCTCCTTAATTCTGTAAGTATCTTTGCCACAGTCATATGAGAATTTTGTGGATTCTTTTATTGCTAGGAAAGATATCTTGTCTTTGGAAGAAGTCAGATATGCTCAACATACTAGAGAAGTTCAACATAAGGCGTCTGGTTCTGGTTCGGAAAATCAGGCATCTGTGTTGGCTGCTACGAGTAGTAGGATACAACAATCTGGTAATAAGAAGGCGAATACAAATTCGAATTCTGCTGGTTTGTAGGATGATATCTGTCATTACTGCAAGGAGAAAGGACATTGGAAATTTGATTGTCCTAAGCTAAAGAAATATCAGGAGAAGAAGGAATCATCCGCTGCTGTGGCGGAAGAAACTAACTCTGATTCTGAAGATTGTTTAGTCATAGCAGTGAATGAGCATGTACACCATCAGGATGTGTGGTATTTGGATACTGCAGCTGATTATCATATGTGTCCAAGCTGGAAATGTTTTTCAGCTTATGAGCAGATAGATGGAGGACATGTTTCTATGCCAATGGTGCTATCTGTAAGATTGTTGGAAGAGGCTCCGTCAGGATGAGGACACATGATGGTTCTGTTTGCACCTTGAACAATGTTAGACATATTCCAGAGATTACTAAGAATTTGATATCTTTGAGTCTACTCGACAGCAAGGGTTTCAGTTTCAAAGGTGAAGGTGGAGTGTTGTCTTTCTACAAAGGTTCTAAGGTGATTTTGAAAGGTGTCAAGCGTGGTGCCTTGTATAATCTACAACGTTCTGTTTTGACATGTTCTGTTTGTGATAAGGGCACCGAACTGGTTCTGAAAAGCAAGTCTCAACATGAGTTGGATTTTTCAAATGGTTTGAGTTGTTGACCACCCTTAGGAGCATTTGGAGGCGAGGGAGGTTCTGGTACAGCTGATTTGGAGGAGTTTGTTACGTCTGAAAATTCTGATTGCATCTTATTTTGGCGATTTACGCTGCATTTGAGTTTGGTGATTTCGATCACAACTGGATATCTGTGATTTCGATCGCATCTGGGTAAATTTGGTGATATGGATCGTGTCTGGGTACATCTGGCAACTTTGGTCGCGTCTGGTACATTTGGTACTTGAGAGAGAATTCAAGTCAAGGTGGAGATTGTTAGAATATGACTTGAATTTGATTTGGGTTTGTTTTGTGTTCCGGGCCTTTTTTGTTTGGGCTTTGTTTAGGCCTTTTCCTTGTAGCCATGAAAAAGGTGTTTGGTTTTTTGTTTGAGACTAGGAGAAGAGTACTATAAATACTCTTGATCACCTAGTCCGTAGTAAGGTCAGTGAGGTTAGTTTGTTTGGTTTGTTCGTTCGGAATTTTGTTTGTAACTTGTACTCTCATTAATTCTGTTAGTATCTTTGCCACAGTGATATGAGAATTTTGTGGATTCTTTTATTGCTAGGAAAGATATCTTGTCTTTGGAAGATGTCAGATATGCTCTACATACTAGAGAAGTTTAACATAAGGCGTCTGGTTCTTGTTCGGAAAATCAGGTATCAGGGTTGGCTGCTACGAGTAGTAGGAGACAACAATATGGTAATAAGAAGGCGAATACAAATTCGAATTCTGCTAGTTTGATGGATGATATCTGTCATTACTGCAAGGAGAAAGGACATTGGAAATTTGATTGTCCTAAGCTAAAGAAATATCAGGAGAAGAAGGAATCATCCGCTGCTGTGGCGGAAGAATTAACTCTGATTCTGAAGATGGTTTAGCCATAGCAGTGAATGAGCCGGTACACCATCAGGATGTGTGGTATTTGGATACTGCAGCTGATTATCATATGTGTCCAAGCAGGAAATGTTTTTCAACTTATGAGCAGATAGATGGAGGACATGTTTCTATGGCCAATGGTGCTATCTGTAAGATTGTTGGAAGAGGCTCCGTCAGGATGAGGACACATGATGGTTCTGTTTGCACCTTGAACAATGTTAGACATATTACAGAGATTACTAAGAATTTGATATCTTTGAGTCTACTCGACAGCAAGGGTTTCAGTTTCAAAGGTGAAGGTGGATTGTTGTCTTTCTACAAAGGTTCTAAGGTGATTTTGAAAGGTGTCAAGCGTGGTGCCTTGTATAATCTACAACGTTCTGTTTTGACATGTTCTGTTTGTGATAAGGGCACCGAACTGGTTCTGAAAAGCAAGTCTCAACATGAGTTGGATTTTTAAAATGGTTTGAGTTGTTGACCACCCTTAGGAGCATTTGGAGGCGAGGGAGGTTCTGGTACAGCTGATTTGGAGGAGTTTGTTACGTCTGACAATTCTGATTTCATCTGATTTTGGCAATTTACGCTGCATTTGAGTTTGGTGATTTCGATCACAACTGGATATCTGTGATTTCGTTCGCATCTGGGTAAATTTGGTGATATGGATCGTGTCTGGGTACATCTGGCAACTTTGGTCGCGTCTGGTACATTTGGTACTTGAGAGAGAATTCAAGTCAAGGTGGAGATTGTTAGAATATGACTTGAATTTGATTTGGGTTTGTTTTGTGTTCCGGGCCTTTTTTGTTTGGGCTTTGTTTAGGCCTTTTCCTTGTAGCCTTGAAAAATGTGTTTGGTTTTCTGTTTGGGATTAGGAGAAGAGTTCTATAAATACTCTTCATCAACCTAGTCTGTTGTAATGTCAGTTAGATTAGTTTGTTTGGTTTGTACGTTCGGAATTTGGTTTGTAACCTGTACTCTCCTCAAATCAGTGCAATTGTTTCTCCTCTGCCCGTTGATTAGCTAGCACACATTATGTTAGTGAACCACGTTAAATTCGTGTGCGTTTGTGTTCATCTGGATTATCGATTGCAGGCTTCTGTTTTGACATTAATAAAGAAAAATACTGTAAGGTACAAATTCACCTATCAATACCTAATCCCGACTCACATTGTTGTGAATTGATCGAAAGGAGCACATAATTGGTGATCGTAGTACTGGTGTGAGATAGGGAAGTGTAAGTTGACTAAGTACTGGTGTGAGAGATAAGGAATTTCAAGTTGATTAGGCCCGAAAAAACTGGTGTAGGAGTTTATGTGAGATCTCCCGAGAAAATCAACATTATTTGTGAATTGATCTTCCGCTAATTAAGTAGTGCCATCCTGATTCCCTTTTGCAGAATCGATGATCACCCTCAATCTCCTTGTATTCACAAATCAAACCACAAGCTGATTTTTCTTTCTCGTGGGGAATATGTCATCATATGTATTAATAATAGTAGTTTCTCATACGAGTCATATGCTTTATTTTGGGCACCGATCAACCAGTTCGTAACGCTAACGATCGATACGGCCGTTTAGTTTAACTGACACATAAATGACATGCAGGAATCATAAGAAAGGCAAAGTAAACTTGATAGAGGCCACGCAGCTTGGATGACTCGGCAGCGTAACTTTTGGATACGGGCAGGGCTTAGAGTTTAACGAAAGACATGGTGCAGGAGGATGTAGATCCTTCATCGGCATCTCCACTTGCGGAATTAGGACAAGCAGCTTGGAGCTTGATCTGAAGACGTTTCATACAGTCTATGCATGCCTGCCCGCCGTATGACGAAGGACAAAGAGCATCGCCTTTAATCCGACCGGCATACGTAGTGGTGTATGTAGAACCCGGAGCCTGTGTGGGCGTCTCTCGAGCCAGCATCGTCAGAATGTTGGTGACGTAATTCTGCCACCCCAAAACATCACTAACCTCACCGCCGCAGCAAGACTGAGCTCTAGCGCTCCCAATTCCGACGCTCAAACACGCTACAACTACCAACACAGCACTCGCCATCGACATTATCACTTTCTGATGCCTACCCATATCGAATTATCGATACGTGTTTGTTGCTTCTCTCTTTTCTTTTTACTAATTTTTCGCTTTTCTTTGGCTTTCGCTTTGTAGAATGCGATGATATGAACTAAATATGTTGGTTTTACGCCTCCCTTTTATAGAGGCTATTCACATCAGTTCCGTCTTCCAAAGGTGCAACTTATTGGCTTCCTTCGTACGTCCTCTATTGCAGGAACCAAAAGGAAAATGTTGCGCCAATTGACATTGAATTTCTATTGATGTAAAATTTATTGTTTTGTAGCGGTAAGGCAGAATTTGAAGAACTAATGCAACCCTGATGAAAACTACAATAAACTAGTTAAAACTTTCATTCTAATTAATTCAAGTTTCAAGTACTTAATTCAATTGACTTAAAATGAAATTACGCACGTTGCACGATCAGCTGGCTCCCTATTATATTATGGGTTAAGGTGGACTTAGGTAAGTTTGAAAAGTCTCCGAGCATTTACGCAAAATTCGTCCAAGTAGAAAACAAAATCATTTATGTGATTTCCTCTAAACGAACTACTAGAAAAAGATATTATAATTCTAAAGTTTATTATTATTATTATTATTATTATTATTATTTTGTGTCTTAAAATAGTTATAAAGATGATTTAGAGAAAGCAATCAATTGATTTTTGTAACCGATCGACCGCTTTCGGCCTAGGGCGGACCTACGTCTCAAAGAGTTCTGTTCGTCTGAAAGCTTTGTGAGAATGATGGAACCATGACCACGTCTAGGCCCCAACCCATGCAGAGAAGGACGTCCGCGCGGCAGCCCAAGCCCAGTAGTTGTTATGACGAATATTATTATTTATTATTATTAGTAAGTTGATTGTTATTGGTTTTGTATTATTTGTACGCAAACACTATTTATATGAAGGAATGGAATAGAGAACGTATGAATTACCCCCAACAAAAACCCTCAAGGCTTCTTTCTGCGCCTAGCAGGAAACAAACCCTTGGAACGTGGGTTACGTTCCCATCAAATTGGTATCAGAGCCTTGATCGTGGACGTGGGAGCTTGCACCAAAGCTTATACTGCGGCGGCAAAGAGCACAACGGCGGAATTTTCCGACAAAACCATGGAGATTCGGGCCCTCAAACGACGGTTGACCGGCTGGCTGAACGAGTCGAAACGTGAGCTCGCCGATGAGGATCGCGTAGCGACGACAACATGGCTGACATTGCCGTAAACGACGATGGTTCGGCCGGTGAGCAGTTGGAGTTGTCTATCAACGCCGCGGGGGGAATTGACGTCCCTCGAACACTCCGATTTCGCGCGCAGGTAGCAGATGTGGGCGCAGTTCTACTGGTCAATAAGTGATCAACTCATAATTTTATTTCCGAGCAAAAAGCTGAGGAGATGTGGTTGTGCATCACACCCATAGACCCATTCTCGTTACGGATAGCAAAAGGCGAGCCGATGCGCTGCCGGGGCAGGTGCGACGATGTGAAGGTCGTGATTTAAGGCGAAGAGTTTGTCGTCTCCTTGTACATCCTGCCGATTCGAGCGATGGATATGGTCATTGGGGTTCAATCGCTTGCCGATCTTGGCCCAGTTACGTGTGATTGGGGAGCTTTAACCATGAAATTTAAATGGAGGGATAAGGAGTTGTTGATGCAGGGCATCCATCCACGCCGCACGGCGACTGACTCGCTTCTACCGTCACACTAGAAAATGGCAAAGTGTAACCACCTACTAGAGCGTAGTATAGCGGGTTCGGCTTTTAATGTCAACCTAGGTCCTATGTGTGATGACTACTCCGTGAATTCTTATTATTTAGCAATGAAAGTGTAGTGAAGGTCCAAGTAAACAAGCAAGAAAAACAGTAAAAGGTTGTTTTCAAGTTGAGAGAGGTCACCCGGATATGGTTCCCCCTAGAATGCAGTTAAGCCAGATTGTAATTTACCAAGTTCGAATTCAAAGGTAGTTATACTGCGGGAGGTTCTTAAACAGTCTGCAGTCTCGACTAAAGGTCTCCAGACCCTCTCAATCTGAGTCCCCAGCGGGCGACTAACCTCCACCGGAGTAAACCGATTGAGGCCCTAACGAACCAAACCTCAACTACCGAAGTAAATCCGGTACAGAATACTGAATTGACTCCTCGACTAAAGTCGTCAATTCACTACCTTCAATCAAGGGTGCTCTATCAACCTAGGCAGATATTCTCTTTCTAGGTCAAAGCAGAAACAACAAGAATTTTATCAGGATTCATGCCATTCAACAAATCAGACCTCAATTGAATATAATCAAATCAATGGATTCATACTCGGGTTCATACAATCAGACCTAACATACAAATCTAGGGTTCTTCATACCTAGGCGAATATGGAAGTTACTCCATGGAGAAAGAAGCAAACTCTAGCTCAAAAGCAGAAATCGTGCTGTGAAGAATGGGGTTCTGCTTCTGGGCGGCAATCTGCACTCCTCCAAGCGTTGTCCGAGCTCCACTAATGATGAAGATAGATCTAAGGATCTTAAGAACTCTGGTTCGTCCCTTTATCTCTCTAGGTATCACTTTCTTTATCTCCAACTCGCAACCCTTCAACTTTGTCCTTCTTTTCCTTTAAGAACATGCCATTCGCGATCACCGGTCGGGTATTTTAGGTGCCCGACGGGGGATTTTTGAAATGCACCGTGTTGGCAGAGGATTAATCCCCGATCGAGGTCAAGCATGCCTGATCGGGGATTTAAGTATTCCGGCCGGGACCCCTCCTCGGATTTCAGCTTTTCCCCGGCCTCTCCTTGCCTTTTACCCGACCTGGTATTTCCACTCCTGGCCGGGTATTTTGCTCCTCTAGCTCCCGTTTACTCCAACGGTCTCCCTTTGACCCGAAACTCGATTCCTCACCTCCACGTCAACGCCAAATCCTGAAATGTGACATAAACACACAACCTAGCGTGAAATCGGCTTAAAACACGAGAATTAACATCTCAAACGGCTCAAGAATGGAGGTAAAAATATGTGCAATTAACGGTCTATCAAATTCCCCCACACTTAACCTTTTGCTTGTGCCCAAGCAAACCTAACTCAAACCAATGCAACTCTCCAGACCTCTATAGCAACAAACAACCCCGATCGTCGGTAGAGGACGTTCTACATCATTAAGCAACTTACGAGGTCAACCGACGTACAAGTCATCTCCTAACTTCTTTGGCGAGAACACTAGTCTCGAATCGGCATCATGGCAAATAGTGATCAGAGGACAAATGAGTTGTGGACAAAGGAACTCTAAAAAAAAAAGGTCGTGGACTCACATTTTTCAAGGTGCTCTTATTTCTTTTTGAAGATGGTTGGAACCCCCTATTTTTTCATTTTTTTCCTGATTTATTTCTTTTTCTTATTTTTTTTCAAGGGTTCCAACCCGATTTTCAGAAAACGGGGCTCCCATCTTGCAAAGGTTTTGCGGGAACCCGGGTCTTACCGGCCATGCCGGGAGCGGATGTCTCGAGCCTCGTGCGGGGGAAAGGAATGTAAGGGGGTTGGAGGTAGTAGGTAGAAATTGGGAATGGATTCCCATCTTCCCTTACACACTTTCGCCATATTCTCACGTGATACGTTATTTTAAATCACAGTTTCGAGCACCTTTTTCTTCAAAAACATGATACAGGAGTCCATGACAGGTAGAGAGTCCACAACACCACACAATTCAAGGTCCTAGGATCACTAATTCACACAATTAACCAACACATATGAAGAAGAGAGGAGACTTCTTAAATGCATCAACATCCTCCATAGTGCTACACTACCTCTCTATGTTTACATGCTCTATAGAGACTGTCGATTCAAAGCATACTGAGCAGGCAATTGCAAGGAACACGTACTTGGAGCCCTCAAATTTAAAAATTTGGACAGTGGACTAGTCTCCAAGCACACAAACAGATCTAAGCAGTCAAAATAGAACCCCCCCCCCCCACACACACACACACTTAAGTTCGACATTGCCCTCAATGGATAAGGGGAAGGATAAGGGGAACGATGTTACCGGTATGAACAGACTGCCGTGGGACTGGAAGGTGGACTAGTCAGAGTGAAGAGGACTGGAAATGGGACCGGTCGGGGCAAAGGCACAGCTAAAGGGAACATAAGAACTCAAACACAATATGTTAGGGAGGAATTTTACAATGCTATATAGAATTGGTGCTATAGGTTTTTTCCTTTATGGTACAATTTGAAGTTGTACCTTTAACGTTATGGTACAACTTCATATTGTACCTATACTCTTTTGTCAAATTGTTTATGGTACAACTTAAACTTTTGCTTTCATTTGATGGTACAAGTTTAAGTTATAAAGTTGTACCATAACATAAGAGCACAAATTCCTTTATGGTACAACCTAAAATTATACATTTAATGTTATGGTACAACTTTAAGTTGTACATTAAAGCACCAATACTTTATAGCATAGTACAAGTGCTCTATGTTAGGTCCAGTTGTCAGACCAATAGTACATCAACCAAAAGAAATGAAAAGAAAATAAACCAAAACACAAGACAGTTGCACTCCGAATCAAACAAAAGCAACACAAGACGGGCAACGAGTACAACCTACTCGAACCCGGTGAAATCGTGCAACTGACTGGAACACGACACAAAACAAAGAAAAAAGGGAAAAGAAATGCAAACCTTGGTGGGGTTGCCTTCCCACAAGCGCTTCTTTCTGTCTTTTGGCTGGACGCCCATGACGGAACTAAGGGTCCGCAAGTTTAACCACCAACTCCTCACGTTCGACCTCGTCTCCCAAATAGAGCTTGAGACGATGGCCATTTACTTTAAAAGGCTCAGTTTGCGGGTTGGCAATCTCGATCGTGCCATATGGGAACACCTGCGTGATCGTGAACGGTCCAGACCACCGGGAGCAGAGTTTTCCGGGAAAGAGCTTCAGGCGAGAGTTATAGAGAACTCAATCACCAACCTGAAACTCCTTCGGACCCCTCAATCAAGCGTCGTGTAGACGCTTAGTGCGCTCCTTATACAACTTGGTGCTCTCTTAGGCGTGGTGGCGCCACTCTTCCAGATCCAACATTTGTAATTTTCGTTCAACACCTGCAACACTAACATCCAAGTTGAGCAGCTTAAGGGCCCAAAAGGCCTTATGCTCTAGCTCCACTGTAAAGTGACATGCCTTTCCATAGATAAGTCGGTACGGTGAGGTACCAATTGGCGTCTTGTAGGCAGTCTGGTACGCCCACAAATAGTCATCGAGCTTGGTGGACCAATCCTTGCGGGATTAATCCACCGTCTTTTCCAATATCCGCTTCAACTCCCGATTCGCCAGCTCAGCCTGACCACTCGTTTGAGGGTGGTAGGCCACGGACACCTTATGAGTAACACCATAGCGAGACAACAACTTATCAAACTGGCCCTGCAAATGGGTGCCCCGGTCGCTTATGATGGCTCTAGGTGTCCCGAATCGGGAGAATAGCTGCTTCAAAAATCCACAAACACGTCTAGCATCATTAGTGGACAAAGCTTGCGCCTCAGCCCACCTAGAGACGTAGTCCATAACAACCAAGATATACGTATTGCCAAAGGATAGAGGGAAGGGGCCCATGAAGTCGATACCCCAGACATAAAAAATTTCACATGTTATAAATACATTCAAGGGAATCTCATCAGGGGCAGAGATGTTACCTGACCTTTGGCATCGATCGCACCTGCGGGCGAAGGCCTCTGCATCCTTGAAGAGCGTGGGCCAGTAGAAGCCCGACTATAGTACCTTCCATGCTATGCGGTTACCACCATGGTGCCCGCCAGTAGGTCCCTGATAAGCCGTTAATTGCACATGTTTTTACCCCTATTCTGGAGCCGTTTGGGATGGTAATTCTCGTGTTTTAGGCCTATTTTACGCTAGGTTGTGTTCCTTTGTCACATTTGAGGCCCTAGCACATAAAGTGAAGCGTAGGAGCAAGTTTCAAATGAATCGGAGATCATTTGACAATTCGGGAGAAGAAACACGAGCATGACCTGAGGACGAGACTACAAGCGTCTGGGTTCAAACGGCGACTGATTTGGAGTCCGGACGAGGGAGAAACGAAGCTTTGAACAGGAGCGGGGGAAGAATTACGGGCAAGAGAATTACGACCGTATTTTCACCTCCCATGCCCGTATTTTCACTGCCGAGAGGAGATTTGGGTGCACTGAAACTTAACCAAAACGCGTGTTTTGGGCAAAATACGGGCATGGAAGAATTACGACCGTAATTCAGCCCGTAATTCGCCCAGAATTGGGTTTTTTAGGCCAATTTCGAGCCAAGGGAGAGGGAGAGCTGGGTTTTGGATCCCAAACACCCAAGGGACGAACCCTAGAGAGAGAGAGCGACTTGGGAACATTCTTGGAGCTATTTTGGAGGATTTCTTCGCCATTGGAGCTCGGGAATCAAACTTGGAGATGGAGATTGAAGATCTAGATCAGATTTCTGCAGTCTCTCTCTTCTCTATGGAGTAACTTCCCTTCACTTAGGTTATGAGGAGCCCTAGTTCCATGAGTTAGGATCTTTCTTGTATGAAGTTTTGGATGCTATATTTTTTGATTATAATCGAATGATGCATGTTTATTGAGTCAATTGAAGTCTGATCAACTTTTCCTGATTTCTGCTGCAACCTGAGATAGATAGAATCTGATTAGGTTGTTAGAGCCTCATCATTCGGTAGTAGGAGATTGGCTATACGAGAGTTAGTCAGTTTACTGCTTTGTACTGGAATCCAATTCCAGTAGTGGAGTTCTGTGCTTATTGCTTCAGCTTTCTATCCCGGTGAAGACTAGTCGTCTGCCGGATAGTTAGACTGAGAGGGCTTGGTCAGTTTAAGAGATTCCAAGCTACTGTCGGATCTTCCGCAGTTTAATCAACAGTAAAACAACCAAAAGGAATTACAACTTGGACCTAATGGAGGAGCTAGGGGGAATCATACCTAAGTGAGTTCCCAAACTGTAATTAGTAGTTTTACTTAGTTTAGTTGGTAGAGTAGTTTAGTTAATCAATCCTTAATCTAGTTTGCTAGATAATGAACTGAAGCTGAGTAATAGTAACTCTAGAGACCCGTGGATTCGATATTTATTACTTGTGCCACTATACTGCAGTCCCTTTCATTGGTTACACTTGGCCATTGTTAGGTGTTGTGTTTTAGCGTGTCAAGTTTTTGGCGCTGTTGCCGGGGACTTTCTAGATTATTAGGAAGTTTGTTACTTTAGCGTCTTTTCTTTTCTTTTCCACCCTTGCTTTTCACTTGGGTGTTTTTTTTTGTTGGTGCAGATCTGAATCATGGATCCTCATGGCTTCTCCAACAATTGGGGGTATCCACCACCACTCGAGTGGTATTACCCCGAGACTCCCTGGAGCAATCAAGGAGGAGAAGACTATGGATTCGGGTTCCAGTACCAACCCCCTTACTACGGAGAACAATCAGACCCCTGTGCATATCAAGAAAAATCTCCTTATCAAGAAGAATTCCTCCCACAACAAGAAGGGCCATCAGATCTTGAGTTAGCCACAGCCTTCACGGGCCACTCTGCAGAGCCATGCTACACTTTACTGGAAGATCCGAATAAACAATTAAGGCTTCTCGTGGAGCAGTTTGCTCGAGACACTGAGAGATCATGCTCCAAGATGGATCTTCAAATCAAAGCCCTTGCTGCTTCCGATCCCTCATTTCTCCATGATATGGAGGAGACTGTTCAGCGCTCAGCGAAGCAAACAGAGTGGGTGGAGCAAATTTGCTCACATCTTGCTCAAGATCACCTTTCTGCTACCACGCTAGAAGAGGTGGAGGATGACAAAGGCTATGGGGATGTTGAGGAGCATACAGAAGTTATCACAGAGAACTCCCATGATAATCATGATCAGGAAAGTCCTCTGGTTGCATATCACACAATTCCTTATTTCTGCTCTAACATGCTGGGCCCGAGCGAGGAGATGCAAGATGATCTCATTGAAGAAATTACATGGCGACTTGCTCTCCAATTTGTGCTAGAAGAAGAAGAGCAAGAAAGGGCAAGGCGATCTTCGAAAAATCCTTGATGAAACGCCTGTAGAACCCTGCATAGCCTCAGAAACTCTGGATCCCCTTAACAGATGTAGGAGGAGGCAGCTTGCTGATAGTCTCGATCTTGGCCCTGTCCACCTCGATCCCCATCTTGGAGATCTTGTGCCCGAGAACTATGCCTTCATGAACCATGAAATGGCACTTCTCCCAACTAAGTGCCAGGTTTGTTTCTTCACACCATTTAAGGACGAGTTCTAGGTTATGGAGACAGTGAGAGAATGAGTCCCCATAAACCGAAAAGTCGTCCATAAACACCTCCATAATCTCTAATCTCGCCGACCAGGCGGTCAAAGATGGCGAGCATGCATCGCTGAAAAGTGCCATGGGCATTACAAAGCCCGAATGGTCCCCTCCGATAGGCAAATGTGTCGAAGGGGCAGGTGAAAGTGGTTTTCACCTGGTCTTCCGGTGCAATGGGGATCTGGAAACACCCGGACATCCCATCCAGGAAATAGTAGAACTCGTGCCCCGCCAGTCTCTCCAGCATCTGATCAATGAATGGCTGAGGGAAGTGGTCCTTCCGAGTGGCATCGTTGAGATGCCAGTAATTGATGCAGACATATTACCCAGTCACCGTGCGCATCGGGATGAGTTCGTTCTTCTCGTTCGGCACCACGGTCATCCCACCCTTTTTGGGTACCACCTGGGTGGGACTGACCCACTCGCTGTCGGACCACAACCTCCACGTACGGAGGCAGTCTCCTCTGCGGATGTCTCACTGGTCGCATCTCATCCTCGAGCAATATCGGATGGGAGCAAAAGGAGGGGCTGATCCCCCGGATATCAGTGATCTTCCACGCTAGAGCTCGCTCGTACTGCTTCAGCAAGGCCACTTGTCTGACCTTCTGCTCGGGTGGGAGGGTCGAGCAGGTGATGACTGGAAACTTATTCCCCTTCCGGAGAAATGCATACTCCAAGTGAGGAGGGAGGTCAGACTACTTCAACATTGCCATGAACTTGGCAAACTCAGTCTCCAGCTTGTCTTTGTGTAGGCGAGTGGGGAAGGGAAGCTAGGGTACATGCTCCTTAACCACTGCTGTGGCTTGGGAGCAGGTGCTTCTTTTTCCATCCCCAGTTCTGCATCGTCAGCTGGAAATGTTGAAGCAGGTAGTGGCTCGTCCTGCCTAGTTTGGGCAGGAGCAGCAGATGTGGTCTTGCCACTCCTGGTAGTGATGGCATCCAGCTGCTGGTGAGGCTCGCGAGGATTTGGAATGGTGGTGGCAGGCAAAGTCGCCGGTGCTTTGGTGTTATTCTGGCAAGCAATGCCACCAATCTAGTTCTGGAGATCCTGCAGTATAGCAACCTGGTTCCTTTGGCCTGCCTCTACAGAAGTTATGTTCTGATCCATCCTCGCAAAATTCGCCTGACTAGTAGTCATGAATGCCTGCAAAATATTTTTCAGCTCCGTCATCTGGGTATCTAGAGCTGGAGCTGCTGGAGGCTGGGCATACTGGCGTTGTGGCTGCTGGAATGGTTTCCCCTATCTGGACTGGCTTGGCTGCTGTAGTGGAGTTGGGCCCTGTCTGGCCTGGAAGGGCTATCGCTGCTGATGTTGGGAAACCAGGTGGTTTAGTGGTGTTGCTGGTATTCTAGGCGCCGAGCATTGGCGATGAAGTCAAACTGCTCCTGGGGTGTAGAAGTCTCTCGCATAGCCTGGTAGTCTTCCACCAGATGGTTTGAGCTCTCACACCACTGGCATTGAGCAACCGAAGGCCCGTCCACAACTTTGCCCGAAATAAGACTGTTGCGCTGCTTCAGTGTCTGGACCAACTCGGCCACCTCCCGCTCTAGCCTGGACCTGGCCTCCATGGCGTGCACACCATGATCCTGGGAACTCCTGCTTCTGGTGCTCTGCCCCCAAGAGTGATCCCTGGCAGCCAAGGTACTGATCATCTGGTTCAGTTCGGGTGGAGTCTTAGTGAGAATATCCCCTCCTGGGCATAGAGACTCGATCACCCTCTGACTCTTTGGGGACAGAGTGTTGTAGAAATTCCCCACTGTGAAAGCATCACTGAAACCGTGATGGGGACATTGACAGAAGAACCCTGTGTACCGCTCCCAGGCATCACGAAGAGACTCATCTAGCTCCTGGAGGAAATGAGTAATCTCCCGCTGAATCTCTGTAGTCTTTGATGCCGGATAATATATGTGCACGAACTTGTTGGCCAGGTCGTCCCACAATGTAATGGATAGTGGGGGTTGGGTCTCTAACCACCTCTTCGCATGCCCCGCCAGAGAATGGGGGAAGAGGTGCAGGTGGATCGCATCATCGGGTACACCATTCATCTTGAACCCATTTGTCAGCTGCAAGAACCGGGAAAGATGCACCCTCGCCTCCTCATCCTTCAAGCCATGGAACTGAATATAGGATGTAATCAATTGGATCCAACATGGCTTGATCTCAAAATTGTTCGCGGGAATGGGCGGATATAGGATGACAGTGCGGATATCAACGACCCGTGGAGTGTAGTAGTACTCCATGGTAGGACACGACGGGGGTGGTGGATGATGAGCCCCATCTGCTTGGGGGACTACGTTGTTGGCCATGACTTGATTTACCGGGGGAACCTGGAGAGGCATCCCATGGGGCGGGTTGTGTTCACCATCCATCTCGTACTCGTCCTCAGAATTGTTGCTCAAGTGGCCGTCTATGCGCTCCTCCGTAGCCAGTCTTGCTCGTGTTCTCTCCTACGCTGGCGACAAGTGCGTTCAAACTCTGGGTCCAACGGTAGTAAGCCTCCTAACTGGCTACGGGTCATGCACTATCTGCACACACCCAAACAAGCAACCTGTGAAGGCACAAGTGGGACAAAGTAAATAAACAATGCGAAAAAGAAAAGCTAAATTAACAGAAACCACGTTTCTTCAATAACCTAGCCGTCCCCGGCAATGGCGCCAAAACCTTGACTCACTTCTACCATCACACTAGAAAATGGCCAAGTGTAACCACCTACTAGGACGTAGTATAGCGGGTTTGGGGTTTAATGTCACCCCGGGTCCTAAGTGTGATGACTACTCCGTGAATTTTATTATTTAGCAATGAAAGTGTAGTGAAGGTCCAAGTAAACAAGCAAGCAAAACAGTAAAAGGTTGTTTTCAAGTTGGGAGAGGTCACCCGGATATGGTTCCCCCTAGACTGCAGTTAGGCCAGATTGTAATTTTCCAAGTTCGAATTCAAAGGTAGTTATACTGCGGGAGGTTCTTAAACAGTCTGCAGTCTCAACTAAGGTCTCCAGACCCTCTCAATCTGAGTCCCCATCGGGCGACTAACCTCCACCGGAATAAACAGATTGAGGCCCTAACAAACCAAACCTCCACTACCGAAGTAAATCCGGTACAGAATAGTGAATTGACTCCTCGACTAAAGTCGTCAATTCACTACCTTCAATCAAGGGTTCTCTATCAACCTAGGCAAATATTCTCTTTCTAGGTCAAAGCAGAAACAACAGGAATTTGATCAGGATTCATGTCATTCAACAAATCAGACCTCAATTGAATATAATCAAATCAATGGATTCATACTCGGGTTCACACAATCAGACCTAACATAAAAATCTAGGGTTCCTCATACCCAGGTGAATGTGGAAGTTACTCCATGGAGAGAGAAGCAAACTCTAGCTCAAAAGCAGAAATCATGGTGTGAAGAATGGGGTTCTGCTTCTGGGCGGCAATCGGCACTCCTCCAAGCGTTGTTCGAGTTCCACTGATGATAAAGATCGATCTAAGGAACTTGGGAACTCTGGTTAGTCGTTTTCTCTCTCTAGGTCATTCGCGATCCCCGGTCGGGTATTTTAGGTGCCCGGCCGAGAATTTTTGAAACGCACCGCGTTGGCAGAGGATTAATCCCCGATCGAGGTCAAGAATACCCGATCGGGGATTTAAGCATTCCGGCCGGGACCCCTCCTGGGATTTCAGCTTTTCCCCGGCCTCTCCTTGCCTTTTACTCGTCTCCGGTACTCTTGGTGAAGAAAAACGACGGGACATGGCATTTCTACACCGATTATAGTGCTCTGAACGAAGTAACCATCAAAGATCGGTACCATATTCCTACAGTGGGGGATATGTTGGATGA